TTTCCAGGAGATCAGGCCAGCGAAAACCTTCTTCTTCGCCAACATTATTGTTGGAAATTTTACTATTATGTAGTCTAACCATTAATTGGTTTAAATAGAACTGTCTAATCAGTTTATCATATTTATTTATTTTTTCCATAAATTAACTTCAAGTAAAAGTTTATTTTGGCTAACAACAGAGCCATAAAAACAGAAAATTGTTTCTAATGAAACATGCAACCCTGCGTAGTGAGCTTACAACCCTTCCAAGGATACTCATCTACCATGGTTGTCCGTGAAATAGGTGGTATGTATTCCGTATAAAGAACCGATTCTTCCACTCCTTCTGTAGAGCTGAACGGATTCGTACTGGCTTCCATGGTGTAAACCTGATCTCCTTCCCAAAACATAATTTGTTGATGGAGAGAAGAAGGCACACATTTGGAAGCGTGAATCCAATCTCGCCCCAACAAAACCGAATAGGTAGTATTGGCATCCACAACAAAAAACACAGTCGAAATCACCTTCGGTCCAACCTCAATGGGTGCCACCATCATCCCTTCTGGCTTAGTCGGTTGTCCTGTGAAGCTTGTCATCTCGATGTCTACCGGAGATAAATCACCAATCTCTTTACCCAATTTTCTTAAAGTTTTGAGGGGCATGACATTAAAAACAGCCCCATTATTGATAAAAACCTTGTTAACCGGCTTACCACAGATGTGAGCGTTAACATAGAGTGGTTTTAAATGCGGGAATGCCCCTTCTGGTATAGGTGGAAAAACCATAGGTGGGGGTCTGCCAACCATTGCTGCCCATTCTGGTTCTTCCTCCTCCTCGAACTTAGCCCAAATGGGTTCTTCTTCAACGGACCATCGCATATCCGTCATCCTGACCTCGAATCCTGCTTTATCAAGTTTTACTATCTTGCTGCGCAAAATTTTCGTCTCTTCTGGGGCAAATGATCCGAAAATAATCTCGGGGGTCTCTTCCTCTGCAATTTCTATTTCAGGATCAATATTGATCCGTTTGCAGAATTGACATCGAAAACATCTGGCCTTCTTGATCGGATTGCTGCTCTCCCCTTGCTCCTCTGTTTCGTCATTCAAGTCCTTCCTTTTAGGTGATGATTATTTCTTCTCCTTACCCTTGTCTGTTCGCTTCCCATGCCGTGCTGCATACATACGGATTTGTGTGCGATTCATACCTGGAAATCGAGGGTCTATGTCTATTGGCAGAGGCTTTCTGTTTCGACTCCATTTCTCTTGGACTGGATGTGGTTTGCGTGTTGGTCGGTCTCGTACCACGACTTTGTCTTTCAATTCTACCTTGAACGACCCATCTTCTCTATCCCATTTCTCTGCCACTCTAGTTTCGCAAACTTTGAACTTCACTTCCTGATTGGATTCTCGTTCTTTAGGTTTGCGTTCTTTTCGTCCGGTGTCTTCTTCATCATCACTTTGCACAACTTGTGAAGACCGCACAGAGATCATTGCAGTAGTTACTTTTGGGAAGGGCTGATGCTCTACTCCCATTGTTACATATTTGAATCTCCCTGCTTTGATAGCCTTTTGTATTTCCTTTCGGAAATGTGTGCATTGATTAGTGTAATGAGTAAAGGAATTATGCCACTTACAGTATGGCCTTCCCTTTATTTCCTCCTTCGTTGCCAAACTTTGCCCTTTACGAATACGAATCTGCCCGTCTGCCAATAAAATATCGAAGATCTCGTCGGCCTTGGATACATCGAAAGTCGGCTGCTCCCTCTCCTCTGTTCCTGGCAATGGCTTTAGTTTCGAGCATACGTACGGTTTTCCATTCACAATTTCGGCTGTCATTTCTTCAAGAATATTTCCTTCTTCTGGCGAATAAATCTCTGTATCAACACTAGCCATTTGCTGTACCCTGTTCTGACGAAAGTTGTGATCTTTTTCTCTGAACAAAGATTCTAATCTCCCTGCTTTGGAGGCCAAACTAGCCAAATCCTGAACATCATGGGCTGTCAATGCCTCCCGAAGTCTGGAATGCATGTTTCTGACCACCAAATTGGTCATTTCACTTTCTTCGATGATTGTCGGGCATATGCCTTTCATGAGTCGTATCCGTTCAATAAACTGATACGCGGTCTCTTCTGGCATCTGCCTGATCTCTAAAAGGTCTGTGAGTGAGACTGTCGGGAGAGGATTAAAAAATCTTGCATGGAATGCTGCCTCCAGGCTTTCCCAGGTTTACAACTGCCCGGGTGGCAAATTTGCAAACCATGAAAAAGCGGTCCTTGTAAGTGATAACCCGAACAATTGTAGTTTATAGAAAGAATTATTGCCTACTTCCCCTAATTGGGCCGTGAAACGTCCCACATGTTCTATAGTTGATGCCCCATCTTCTCCAGAAAATGAATGAAAATCGGGTGGTCTGTAATTCATTGGAAGCGGATGTTCGTTGATGATTCTTTTTGGAAATGGCCTTTGGTACGCAGGTCTGTTGACCGTCTGGGGGTTCATTCCAAAATGTACCCTTAAGACTTGAGCAATGTCCTCTGGTTCTACTCTGGGTGGGACAGGATCTAATACCTAAATAGGATTGTGAGCCTGGCCTCCCAATCTGTCTCCTCTGAGGTCGGTAGGCTCGGTCCTACCACCCAACGGAATGTTATTCGGGTATGTAAGAGGAGTCTTCCCTCTGTCAACCCTTGGGGCGGTAATACTTGGAAAAGTGCTGTCCACATATGAAGGCCCCGCAAAATTTGTCTGTAACCTGGATGGTGATAGTTTTGGTGGCGTCTGGATGGGTTGCAAAGTAACCCTTGATAACGCCTGATTTAACGTATTTTGCATAAGATTTTGTTGCTCCCGCAACATTTGTTGCTCGTGCAACATATTCTGCATGGCCAAATTATGCTGGTTGTTCAATTGCTGAACATAAGAAACCCAGTCAGTGGGTGTTTGTGGCATTTCTCTTGTATTTGGCATGACAGGTGGTGAAACCGTTTCTCCCACCGGTGCCGAAGATGATTGAGGCTGTGAGCCTGCCATATGGATCCTTCCGACGATTCGGCCGGATCTCAATCGTATGAAACTCTCCGTTGACGTAGGATCAGCAATCTTGCCTCGACTCTCACTGTGGTCGCCAAATTGTTGATGTGTTTTTTCAACAATTTAAAAGTAAAATTCGAAAACAGAGAAATATTCCCGAATTTGATAGATAAGTGTCTGAAATTAGAAACTTCTAAACATTGTAGAATACATAAAAATAAAATAAGGATAAAATAAAGACTGAAAATAAAGTGGTGATCCCCAAAAGCAATTTTCTTGAATTTGATGTCGATTGAAGATCCCCTCTCTATACCGTACAGAATCTTTAAATAACCCCTTGAAGATACCGTTCGAACCGCTATCCGGTCGGTTACCATAACCGCTGTTAACTCCCCAAAAAATTCTCTTCTATCGACACGTATGAGAACCGTCCTGTCACGTCCGACTTTAAAAACCGCTCACCAGTCGAAATTACCCCCCACTACCAGAAACTGCATTTTACCCGACCTATAGGATAACTACTTTTAATACCTAACCTTTGAACTTGGTCCGACTTCAATATCTACCCTTCTTATGTCCGACCCTTGGAATTTGTCCCGACTAGGTCCGACTTCTCTATCCGAACTATTTGGTCCCGACTAGATCCAATCTTATCACCCATCCGACTTTCTTGAATCCGACCCTCGGACTTTGTCCTGACTAGGTCCAATTTTGATGTCCGAACTATTTGGTCCCGACCAGGTCCAATCTCCTCATCCGTCCGACCTTGGGGATTTACCCAACCAGGTTTGATCAGACTCAAAACTCATCCGACCCGATTACTGTAATCATATTTGGACTTTCAAAAAGCCCATTGGACGTTTCGAATGACCTAATCTTGGCAGACCCATTTCCTAAAAACCTATCTATTATTTTGTGCTCAACAAAATGTATTTAAAAATATATATAGTAAAAATAAATAACTAAACCATGAAACCCTAAAACTAATACGAGGGTCGTACTACAATTTTTTACTGATATTTTTTTACTGTATCAGTAAAAATTAATTATTATTATTATATGTTTATATTTTAAAATAATTTTGTGAAAATAATAACAATATCATACTTTAATTACACATAATAGATAAATAACATACCTAATATATAAATCACATATAAGACATATTAAAAGAACACAAAAATATTTAATTATTAAACCATAACAGCACTCTTTCCAAATTTCCTATAATGTTTTTAAAATAAAAATAATTAATTATATTTAATTTTATATCAAATGACATTATATCATTAAAATAAAAAAAAATATATATTTTCATTATATCACATCAATTAATGCTAAGGTGTCAAAAGTAAATTCGATCCGAAAATTGAATCCGTTTATTTTTCAGATTCGAGTTTAAGTATTTTGGGTTTGTAAAAAATTGGGTTGATTCGACTCCGAAATGAACAAAACTCGTGTCATGTTCGGATCGGGTTTCGGGTTGTCTTAAAATGATTTATTATTATTATTATTTTAAGTTAACATAAAAACTAAAATAAAAATAATTTTTATTAGGTTAATTTAATTTTTTTTAGTTTTCGGGTTTGTTTAGGGTTTAGGGTTCGTGTCAGATTTGTTCGAACTTCAGGTGACATGAAACTAATTCAGGTCAACCTGAATCCAATTTGAAAGAATTCGTAACTTGTTCAAATCTAAAGTTTCGGATCAAAATTCGAGTTCGGATTGACAGTTTTTGTGTTACCCAATAGCTCAACCGGTCGCAAACTCGACCCAAAATCACTAAGTGACACCCCTAATTAAGTCTCTGTGTGCTGAAATTAAATGTTAACATTAACGGAAACGGAAGAAGTGTGAATTATATGCTATTTTGGGGGCAGCCATGGAAGCGACAGAATTAGCTTCAAAACCTTTGTAAGCGCCGAAAATATGAAAAACCACACAGCCCTCTTCCCTCCTCCCTGTATGAAAACAACCTTAGCTACCACTACCATCTAGAGAATAAACAACATATATATATATATATATATATATCTGCCACGCACTCCTAACCCAACTGCCAGCTGACCAAATCAAATTCTTTTTAATCTAAAATAAGCACAATCATCATCATCATCAGCAGCAGCTTTCAATCGATTGTTTCATTGATTGACCTTATAGCTTAGCTAGCACCGTTAATGGGGTTGAGCCGCCAATCTCCCTTATGTCCGATGATGAGCTCATCATCCTTATCCTTTCAGGGGCTCCATAGTCTTTTCAATCACTAAACACCATTCGCAATTTCCATTGATTTAATTTGGGGCATTTCTTGTTCTTTTTTATTCAATCTTAAATTTGATTAATTAATTAATTTGCCCCTTTTCCATTCAATGCCTTTTAATGGCGACTTATTTGGCTGCTTCTGATTGTTGTTGCTGATGCGTGTGTTACCCCATTATTAGTTGCCCTCTTTCCCCCATTTCTTGGATTCTACTTTTCTTTTAATTTATTTAATTCTTATTTGGTGCTGAGTTCTTTCGATTTGGTTGGTTCTCTAATTTCCGACCCACTTATTGACTTGAGAAAAACAAAGCTTAATCCATGGTGTCTGTTCGTGGGTGATTAGGGTTCATAATTTTTTTTAATTGTGTTGATTTGGGGATATGATGTTTGGGTCAGGAACGAGCTTGGTGACAACCATTATCGGGTTTGGGATGAGCACCACTTTCATAGTGTTTGTTTGCACTAGACTCATTTGTGGGAGGCTTCGCCGCCAGCAGCAGCAGCAGCAGCTCATCGACATGGATTCTGGAATTGGGATTGATCTTGACCACCTGGTATGGTGTCTGAATGGTCTTGTTGTTGCATTTTTTGGCTGTTCTTGCATCTCTAGTTTCTGATTGTTTGGTTCTTTTTGGTGAAGAAGAACATCGAGTAATTTGGTGGTGATGTTTGTTTGCTTGTTTTTGGAAATGTTTGGGGGAGTTTGTGATTGATTGATTAGGCATTATTGTGTTGATGATTTGGTGTTTCTCTTTAAGCATTGCTGTTTGTGATGTGTGGTCTTCCAAGGCAAGTTCGTGTATTTTTTGTTGATCAGGATTCGGAGTGTATCGAATTTGAGATATGATTGGTCGTTAATCAAACTCATTCTGCTTTTTGTGATCGTGTTCATTTAAGGTTTGAATTTAAATTTGAATTTGAGTTTGAGTTTGATGAAAATTTGAATTGAAATAACATTTGAGGTGATTTTGATTTGATGTTTTGAATGAATTTTTTTTTTTTTTTTGTGTAATATAAATATGTTTGATTTAATGGTTTTGCAAAAATCATTTTGATGAATGGTGCAAAACTAAAACCAAATTTTAGAGAAACATAATATTGTTTTGATCCTTTGTTTTGTTATTCGGAGCACACACTTCTACAGTTTTAGTGTCACAAGTTTCAATCCTTCGAAGAAATTAAAGCCTTTTATTTGGGTGAAAAGTTGATGTGAGAAAAGTTAGTTTTTTCTATTCTCTCGTGCGACATACTACCTTAGTTTCAAGAGATCCCGGTTTATTGGTGTGAACATTTTTTTCAAGTCAATGTGGGACAATTATCGTGTTCGTATAACTTTTGTGCGGAATACTAGGATGTATTATGACATGTCCTAATGTGTATAGCCTCTTAGATGTTCAATAGCCTTTTGATACGCCCTTTTTATTTCGGATTTCGGATTTCATGTGATTGTAGTCTACTTTTAATTCAGTTAATTGTATAATATTTCTTTCTAGTTTACTAAAATTATTATTTTCACCTATAATTTAAATAGTGGCCGTGAGATATATTTATATTAGGTAAAACTCTATATTTTGTGTTTGGTTGGGGGATTTTATCCGAATTTACTATTTACAAAAATTTTTCCCAAAATTATTAAATTAAAAATCTAATTTTTACTATTTATATTATATTTTCTCCGTTTCAAACACCCTATAATATTTTCTTTTTTGTTTGTCAATTAATTATATTTATGTATATATACACTTCACTTTATGCCATCACATCACTCAAATAAGAAAAAATAAAATAAATATATATTCATTTCTCCAATCACATCACTCAAATATAAAAAAATATACAAATTTCTTTCTTGAATCACATCACATAATTTCCAAATTATCCAAAATTACCCTACTTAATACCCACCTAAATTCTCTTGCCGAAGTCTAATATTGCGCGGTGCTTTTGAGACGGAGGGAGTACTAAATATCAATCTTACATTAAAAAAAATCACATTACAGTTGCACATTCACTAGATAGAATCATTTATCTTAGTTGTAGTCCCAGCAGCCGTGAGACATATTATCACGTAAATTTTATGTGATGGAGGTTTTATAAAATAAGTGCATCTTAAGTAATTTTTAGATCACAAGGAATAATGGTGATTTTTTTGGTAAACCAGGGGGGATGTAATGTAATTTACCTTTTAAAATTTGCAAATCATGGGCATCCTCTTAAAGGATCTTGTCATCTATCATTTACTTGTGCTGAGATGGAGCTTCGACATTGTACGTCCTGGTGTTATTTTCTGGCCCATAGAAATTTCAAGTAAGTTAGATTTGATTTATATATTAAGGAAGCGATCACTTAATGTTTTATTTCTTGATCCATTTATGGCAGTCGCAAAGTCGGATCAATGGCCTTGAACAAGTAGTAGTTGATGCGATCCCTACCATAAAGTTCAATCGTGAAGCTTTCAGTTGCATGGAAGACATACAGTAAGTCCATCCAAACCCGCTCGTATATTGGTTATCACATTGCACTCCAATAGCTTACATATATAATTTGCTTAGACCGTTGTTAAGAATATTACAAAAATGGTAAGGATCTAGTGAAAATATTTGCAACCAAATAATTTTAGTATACATAAGAAACTAAAAATATACCTTTTATATTTTTGGTTATTTTTCTACATATCCAACAAACAATACAAGTTGCATGTTGAATCCATGAATATTTTCTAGGGCGTTTAAAATACGAACGTGTTCGGAGATTAATTCGAGAATGTTCTAGAACTATCTAACCTTGCCTACTCTTAGTTTAGAATTTCCATCGAACTTCTACACTCTCCAAACACTTGGAACAAATAGTCGAAAAACTCACTCTGGTTGGCATGTTTTTGTTTACTTGGGTTATGCATGGGTTTGTGCTTTAATATTGGATTTTGGTCTCAACAGAGTTTCTATTTAATATTTGTGAGAAAAAATAATATAATATTTTGACAATATACTTGATGATTGCATAACAATGAAAAAGAAAATTGAAACTAAACTTTAAGTAAAACAGAACAAATTAGTTTGCTGATTTTGAGCCTTTGGTTGTGGTAAAAATTTATCGTCAAATCTTGAATTCGATATAAACTTGTTCTAAATGCAATGCAGATGCGCGATATGTTTGAGTGAGTACGAAGAGAAAGAAGTGGTGAGGATCATGCCGAAATGTGGGCACAGTTTTCACCTGTCGTGCATCGACACATGGCTCCGGAAACAGTCCACCTGTCCTGTCTGCCGACTCTCCGTACAACCATCCGGCGAAGTTAAGGGCACCCCCATCCCCATGCCTCAATCATTCGAGGGCTCGGAGATTACTCCCCAACATTCCCGACAACGGCAGCTGTCTGAAGGCACTGCAAGTGATCATCTTAGCCATATGGTGTCCGGTTCCAACGAGGTCCGCATGGAAATCTCGTCCCAAGTACCGTCTAGGTCGTTGTAAGAATATCGGATTAGCTTTTTATTTTCAATTTTATTTATTTTTTTATTATATAATCCTTCGATGCAATGCAAGAGATGGATAGATTGTGAGCGTGTGTACAAGTTTGTTGATATAGACAAAAAAATAAAATAAAATTGTAGATTGGATTTTGTATATTTGTTTGACTGGCATATAATTTTGTATGTTTGTATTTTGTAGTTTTGCAAGACTCACTTTGCAAATTTTGATATTATTTATTAATATTTAATAAATATTTGCTCAAATCATATTAAATATTTAATTTCTTATAATTTTTAAATTTTAAAAGTTTGAACTTTATGGAGAAGAGAATGGTTGAATTTGAGAGGATTGAACACTTTCTCTCACTACACACAACTATCAAAACCTTTCCAATAACCAAACTCTCACACACGGCTTACAATGTAGCATCTATGCAAGACATGCAAGACAAACACAATTAAAACCCCTTACACCAAAATAGTATTGTGTCTCTGGATGAATTTTGAAACAAGTTGACAACCTAAAACATCAATTTCTTTTGTCTTCTATGCCTACCAACCGAGAGAGTAAAGAGAGACAGGACGGTCGCTGTCAGCATGTTATAACAACTTGATAAGACATTTTACTGAAAATGAAAAAAATAGAAAGAGCAGCAGTAGAAAGAATAAAGTGTACATATGCCAAAATAGATTAGTAGATTTTTGTTCCAACAAATAGAAATGTTAGGATAATATCTATTATATAATTACTATAATGTAACTCATATGCACGCGTGAAATATTATGTAATATGGTATTTAGTTTAATTTGAAATTATAGATAATAAATTTTTACTAATAATATATGTATATTGTGTGTATATATTTAAATTTTAGATACTCTCTCTTCCCATCAAAATATGTTACTTTTATTTTTTTATTTTTAATTCAAATATGACACTTTTCAAAAATTTAAAAATTAAAAATTTTTAGTAACAATTAAATATTTACTAATTCAAATTAATATATTCCACTTTTACTCACAATCAATTCAACAATTTATTTTTGGTTATGTTTTATTAAAGCTAATAAAAATAAATATGACTTAAAAATTTGAAAATTCAATTCGGCTATGATATGGAAAATCAAATTTAGCCCTGACCGAGTTAAAAAAATTTTAAAAAAAAAAATTTTAATTTTTTAAATATATTTCATAATTAATAAACTTTAAAGTTGTGTTTAGTTTGACACTTAGGATTTTGGATTTGTGGTTTGAATAATAATAATAATAAAATGCATTGATTTGGATAATTTTTTGATGCAGTATATATATATATATATATATTAATACAATATTTTGAATGTGAAGTTCATTTTTAATATGATAAAAATGAAAAATATGAGTTTAACTTGAATATATTTAGAATGAAACAAATTAATGAACAGATGGTAACAGTGTGTTTGGCTAGATTTTGATTTTGAATAATAAAATTTTTAAATTTAATTTGATTGTTTGATTTAATTTAAATATGTACTGTGACGGTGTTTTTAATCTAAAATAATTTTTTAAAATAATATAAAAATAAAAAAGAGTTTGATTTGATATTTTTTTTAAAAAAAAAAAGTCGATCAATAATCTGTGAATTTGGTTGGTGGTTTAGGCTCCGTTTAGACCGATGTGTTTTAAGTTTTGAAATTTTGAAAAAGATTAGATTCAAATTTTTTTTAAATTGAAAAAAAGTTAATGAGTTAGAAAGAGGTTTAAATAGGAAGTTTGAAGATATTTTGGATAATTTTTTTATTGTAATATTATATAATAAATAATATAATTGATGATGTTGAAATAAAATATTGATTTAATATATTTAATATAAAAATAAATTAAATTTGAATTTATGAATATATTAATATAAATATAGTCAATATACATATCACATAATAAAATTTTATATAACAAAAAAGTAATAAATAAAAAATATTAATTTTTTATTTACTATAAAATCATTTAAAATGAAAGTGTGTAGAATATATATATGTAATTATATTTTATATCGTATAATATTATTAGTGTGGATTTCAAGTATTCGAATGGAGCCTACCTCATGAATGCCAAATAGAGATTTTGGAAACAATGACGCCAATTAATATTGTTAATGAAACAATAAAGTGCCAATGAGTTCAAATGGCTCTTTCTAAACCTAATCTTATATTTTGAATTTAGATTTTAGTTTCAAATATAAGCAAATATTAAAGCAAAGCAAATTGCTTTTATCACTATTCTAAGTAATTTTCTTACCGAAATTATGTTCTTTATATTGGTGACCAATAATATAGGTTTGATTCAACACATTGTTGAATTTTTATAACAACAAACTCGTCTCCATTTATCCTTAATGATTTAATCAAGTTTTTCACTCTCCGAGGTTTTGTTGTTCTTACCTCAATTGTTCCTTATAAGACACTTTACAAGACATACCGTTGGTATAGTTTGAATAATTCAAAACTAAACTTCATCAACAACAATAAAGTTTTAGTATTTCCAGAAACAACAACATTTTCTTCAACTATCTACTCATATTTTGACTGTGGAATAATGGTTGAAAGATAAATAGAAGTTTCTCCACGGACTCTCTTTGTAGGATGAGTCTATCTATACTCTATAGTATCCCAAACATTATCACCAAGCATCATAAAAAATGCCACCATTCTTGTTGTCCAATATCTATAATTATTTCCATCGAATAGAGGTGGGCGGCTTGTCAAATCACCTTCATGACTCATTTTGAACCACAAATAGATTTACCCAAGAGTTTCAACATATTCTTCTAATACCATATTTTAGGAAATCACAATAAAAGGCCAATTTCCTTGGTCTTTTGCGAACAAAAATTATAAAACTACAATAGATAAACATAACTTTTACCATGTGTTTTTTTTTTTTTTTTTTTGTAAATATAACATCAATTTGTTAGTAGACTACATCCAAAATAGATGCAAAATAAAGAAATAACAAACAATATTTATTAACCCAATTCGATATCAAACCTTTATTTGGAGGACTCAAATCTAGAAAATATTTTATAACCTATCATTAGGATAAACAAGAACAATAATATAATCATCTCCTACAATTTTTTTTTACTATGCATTGTATAAAGAATTGAATATCATACCTTAAATGACACCTAAAGAGCACCTATCTAGATGAGAGTAAACATGTTTACAGATTGGCGATCTTCTTCCATTTGACCATATTTATCTTATTCTTCAAATCAATTTATGTTCTCTATAGAAGCTTTAGAATGTTTTCAATATATGAAAAGAACGCACAACAAATTTGTACTCTCAAAATTGCTCTAAAAAACTCCATAGAGATTAACTTTGACTCCCAAGCCGGTTTTGATCAATGTTTGGTTGAGTTCTCCAAGTTCATTAATAAAATTTACATGCTTTTGTTGCATTCATCATCTTCATAAGACACCAGCCATCTTTTGACATCACAGACTTGTCAATTTCGAAGAGTCTAGAGCCTATTTTGTTATGTGCAAAAAGCAAAAATGTTGTGAAAAATGTGTTAGTCCCACACAAACGGCGAAATACTATACCCAATCAATACTGAAGAAAATTCACAGGTAATTGGAGGAGATACGAGGCTCACTTAAAACCTAATTTCCTTAGACCTTTTATAATATTTTTTGATAGAATTTCCTCAAAAAAATTAAAGTATAATAAATAACCGCAAATATAAAAACCAAAAGCAAAATGAAGAACACCAAATTTAATGAAATTCGGAAAAATTATGCCTACGTCCTTGGACCCCAACAAAAAATATATGAGATGAAATAAAAAAATACAACACAATTAAAATATGAGGATTGTGCTGTGAGATATTCAAACAAAAGGTTAAAGACATAATTTATATGAAGAATTCTACTCCCCATCAACCTTTTAATCGATGTGGGATGAAAATGGAGCCACTAAAATTGATTTTTTCAACAAATGTCCACCTTGGCAACTTTCAAATCCCATCCAAATATCTTCCACAAGCTCTTCCATTATAAAATATGGCAGGGCCTCCAAATGCGTTTTTCAGCTCTAACTTCAAACTCTTAAAATAATTATCAAGTTCAAACAATGTTCAAACTTGATACACGTTACACATTTTGTGTGCATATTTACAATATTCTCAGTGGTCTTAATCTTTTGCATTCTAAATCCACCTTCTTAAATTATTTTTCATACAAAATGGTACACACATCGATATACTTTGTTCTAACATGATATACATGATTCTTTGCTAGGTGAATGGCACTTTGACTGTCACAAAACACAGTAACGTATTTTTGACCAACTCCCAAGTCATTCAACAATCTTTGTAACCAAATTGCTACCTTAATAGCCTTAGTAATGACCATGTATTATGCCTCTATTGTTGACAAAGCAACAGTTACTGTAAGGTAGACTTTCAACTAAGTATGTGTTTGCAAGAGTAAACAAATAACCAATGGTTGATCTCCGTTTATCCAAATCTCCTGCATAGTCTGAACCGCAGGACCCAACTATATGTTGACCAGTATCATTATTTCTTTGAAATATCAATCCAAAATCTAAGGTTTTCAAAATATGCCTTAGAATCCATTTCACGGTTTGCTACTGTTCTTTTTTTGGATTATACATATATCTGCTCACAATCCCAACTGTATGTGAAATGTCATACCTTGTACATACTATTGCATACATCAAGCAACCAACCACTCTTGAATAAGGAACCTTTGACATGTAATCACGTTCTTCTTTCGTTTTTGGACACTATGAAACGCTAAGTTTAAAATGAGAAGCAAGTGGTGTACTAGTTTGTTCATAGATGCCAGAAACTCCACATGTTCGGGAGAACTCTATATTTTCAGGGGAGTACCATCAATTTGTTGCTCGATTGCTCTATTCAACATGGTTGATTAATATTTCTACTAAGGATCACATTTCTCATCTCCTGGCACCATAGGTAATATCTTTTTACACCAGATGATATCCCCACGTACATAGTTTTTCTCATCCTTGGATCCAACATTGATTCTTTTACGTGATAATATGCATTGGATCCAATCACACGTAATCATTAGCAAGTTTGTCAAACCATACCTCCGAAGGTGTCTTGCCTTTAAGATCAACGGATGGT